GAGGCTCTCCTAGGCTGCTTCCAGCTCCAAAGAATTGGCAGCGATTCTCTTTCTCCTGTGCACAAGGGGGCTGTTCACTAGTGGAAAAATACCACACCCTGAGCAAGTGCTTCTGCCTCCCCCCAATCCCTCTCCCCTACTCAAACACTTCTAGGTCAATTGCCTGCTCTTCCAACTCAATAGTTCCCCCAAACCCCAGTCTGTGTTGGCGGCCTCTTCTGGGCTCCTTGACTTCTTGAACGCCCAGTCCCAGTTGTCCTCATACCTGGTCTGCTTCCACCAGCACCTAGCAAGGATCGTGATCGCCTAAGTACCCCTAGCCACCATGCCTGGCACCAGGGAGGGATTGATTCATGCTGGCTGAATTCAATTGAATTGCCATGAAAATGTCTTTGCGGCCCCTGAACTGTGCAATCCTGGGCAAGTGGCTTCTCCTTGGCTTCCTTCTGTGTGAAAGGAAATGATCATCCCTGCCTCCCAGAGCTGCAGCAAGGATTTGATGAGATAATGACTGTGAGAAGGCATCGCAGGTTGCAGACTGTTACATAGGACTTTTACCACTTGCAGAATGAAACTCTCCAACCGTGGGCTCCCATAACTCCCAGGCTTCCTTCCTGCTGGACGGCAGCTGGCTACCTCTGCCTTCCAGAGGGCCTGGGAGCCAGAGGGAAGGGCTGTTGGCCAAATCCTCCCCACGTTACCAGTCTCAGGTGCCCAGCACTGGGTTGAGGAGAGAGGGAGGGACAAAGGGTAAAAAGGAAGGTATAAAGGGCCTGCTGGCAGGCTGGGCACACCAGCCTGTGATCCCAACACTTTGGGAGACCAAGGCAGGCAGGTCACTTGAGGTCAGGAGTTCGAGACCAGCCCAGCCAAAATGGTGAAACTTCGTCTCTACTAAAAATACAGAAATTAGCCAGGTGTGGTGGCGCACGTCTGCAATCTCAGCTTCTTGGGAGGCTGAGACAGGAGAATTCCTTGAACCCGGGAGGCAGAGGTTGCAATGAGCCAAGGTCATGCCACACAGAGTCCCCAGGAGCCAAAGAGCCCACAGTGGCCCTCCCTTGAGCAGCAGCTAGCAGGTGTAGCCTGGAGTTGTCCATCCTTGCCAGCAGGTTACACAGTCCACAGCAGCAAACACTGCTCTCCAGGAAGCCGGGGCTGCCATGTGGGACTCCAGCATGAGTACAGGGAGGGGAAGGGTCCTGTCACCCAAGGAAGAGCAGGGGAGTCCTGCCGGACCTCCAGGCCCCTGACTTCATCACATACCCCAGCCTTAGATAAGCCCCCTTGGAGCTGCACTTCACCAGCCTCTCCAGGGCCCCACCAGCTGGGAAGCTGGCCTCCACTCCTGAGGCTGTGCCGCGTCCTCTTGCCTGTGCCCCGGCCTGCTCCTCAGCCAGGAATCCTCCCTGCCTCCCTTCTCCATCTGGTCACCTTTTGTTCATTCAAGAACCCAACCCAAGTGTCTCCTCCTTTGAGTCTCTTTCATCTTTGAGACAATTCCTCACACTGTCACTGTGGTCCCCCGGGAGTTTGTCACACATGAATAAAACAGGTCCATAGGCTCTCCCTGAATCCCCACAGCACCCCTGCAAATGAACACCATTGGTCCCATTTTACAGATGAAGAGACTGAGATTCAGAGTGGCTGAGTGCCTTGCCAAAACTCTCTCAGAGCAGAGAAGACTGTGAAGGTCTCTTCCATCTGCCCCAGACCTGCCCACTCTAGAGGAAGGGAGACTTGGCAGGGTGGGTAGGGCCAGGGTGGACACCCCAGCCTCTGAAGACCACCTAATCCCAGGCCTGGGTGTAGGTCCCAAGAACAAGGCGTCTCCATATCCATAGAGGGTTGGGTGGCCCCCGATCCCCACTGCAGTCAGCATGCAAGGAGGTTCGGATAGGTCCCCAAGAGCTGCAGGTGGCTGTGGTGACAGCATCATCTCCCTCCCTTCCGTCGTCGTGGACAGAGCTGGCCTGCCAGCCTCAGTGCCTTCCTCCCTTCACCCGCTCTCACTCAGTCTGATTTCTCTGGCTTTTGAGCTGCTGATTTCTCTGGCTTTTGAGCTCACCTCTCCCTCTCTCGGCATCTCTCCTTCCCAGCCTCAGAGGAGCCATCTCTGTTTCTCCTGCTGTCTCTCAGTCTTGGCCTCTTTCAACCTCTGAGTCTGTCCCAGGGTCTCCCTTTGCCAAGTCTTCCCTTCTCAATGTCAACCTTTCTCTCTGTGTCTTGTCGTCTCTCGCGTCTCTGACCCTGTCTCTTCGTCTCTATCTCCATCCCTGTGTCTCTGCGCTACTATCTGTGTTGCTGTTTTATTCTCGTCCTCTCTCTCCCTGTCTATTGCCTTTCTGCTTCTCACTCTGCCCCTGTCTCTCTCTCTCTGCCTGTGTGTGTGTCCTGTCCCTGTCCCTTTCTGTCTCTGTCTCCCAGTCTCTGACCCTGTCTCTCTTCCTATCTTCCCAAGTCTGTGTGTGTCTTAGTCTCTGAGCCTGGGGAGAACAATCCTTCCTCCACGGCGCCCCCACCTCTGGCCCAGTAGCAGCCCTGGCTTTTCAGTGTGCTCTTATGCAGGGGTGGGGGACCCCCGGGCATCATTCCAGGGCCCTCTCCAACTGGGTGCCAGCACTGACAGACGAGATAGGGATCAGACTCTGCTCTGTCAGGGCCTGAGCAAGGGGCACAGCGGGCTGCGCGGGGGCGTCTGGGTGCCTGTGAACGTCTGCATGTGTGTACACCTGGGTTATGAACGGGTCTCCTGTGGGGTGGTCCGGGCGTCTGTCTAGGTAGATTGGTGAGCATCTGGGCCTGTTTACGTCTGTCTGCGAGCATCTGTGTGTGTGTGTGGCTTTGTGTGGTGCTGTCTGGGTGTGAGGACCTTAGCCTGTGGGTCTATCCATCCGAGTGCCTCAAGAATGCGCATGCGTGCGTGTGTGTCTGTGGGCATCCGTGTGAGTTGCTGGGGGTAACTGGCGCCATGGTGTCTGTGTGTCTGTCTGTAGTCCAGGCCCTCTGCTTGCATTCCCTCACAGAGTTATCAATGGAAGACAGACTCCATGATCCCATTTGGCAGGTGGAAAAGTTGAGGTTCTTATCCCCCTTGCTTGAATGTGTGACTATGAATGTGTGTCTGCTGGAGGGTAAGAGCCTGGGATCTGGCGGCACAGACCTGGCTCAAATCCTGGCTCTTCCACCACTAGCTGTAAGTTGGCAAATCTTGCTAAGTCTCCTGAATTCATTCAGCAAAAAATGTATCTATCAAAAACAGATATTTTTAAATAGGACCTATCTTGGGAGGGGTTGAAGGAAGGGGGCCTAGGGGAGACTTCAGGGTGCGAAAGTGGCACCTTGATTTGGGTGCCAGTTAAATGGGTGTGTGTTCATTTGAAAGACATTAATCAGGCTGTTCGTTACAGATGTGTGTCACTGTATACTGCAATATAAAAGTCTACAAAAACGTTATTGGGCACCTACTGTTTTCCAGACATTATAGTAATAACAATAGTGGGGCGTGTGTGTGTGCATGTGTGTGTGTGTGTGTGTGTGTGTGTAACGTCCTCAGGGTTTTTAAGAAATTTTTCAGAAAGTGAGTCAGTCTGGGCTTGAAGCACACTCAGCCCATTCCTGCTCTACTCCCTCCCTCCACTCTGTCCAAACAAGGAGGGTAGAGGGAGGAGGAGAGAAAGACCTCAGTCCTGGGCTGGATGGTTCCTCTGCCCAATCTTGCCTGGTTGTTTCCTCTTCAAGGTGGCCATGATTTTCCATCTGGATGATCAAGTTGGTGGGCCATTCGAGGGCATGTGGGTGGGTAACTGCTAACATCCAACAAAGCTGGTAGCAGAGTACTCCGAAGCAGGGCTCGGAGTGAGAAACGAGGGGTCTCATATGTCCAGGGAACAGACACCACACCTGCCTGGCCATTTAGCAACGCCAGAGGATGGCTGGCTGGATACACACATTCCTGCTCTCCACCTGCCAAGTCTCACATCGCCTGCCTGTCATTCAGTGCAATGCATCAAGCCTTACTCTAAGCCAGGCCTATGCTTGGATCGGCCCTTCAGCACATCTTACCTTGCTCCCACTACAACTGCCATGCAAAGGGTCATTCATTATCTTCATCTCATAGCTGAGGAAACTGGCGCCTAAAGAAGGAAATGACTTCCTTCAGCTCACCCTGCTCGATAGTAGAAATTCCAACCTCATTCTGCCTGGCTGAGACCCTCCACCCTCTCTGGGTGTGTCTTTTCTCTGGGTTTCTCGGGTTCCCTGAAACATCAGGAAAGGAATGGAATTCATTTGCTTTTGCCCTCTCTGGAGATTTTTAAATTTTGCGTCATTAAGAAAATGGAGCTTAAGCTGGCCTTTGGTAACTGTGGTCCCTCCTAACAGGGAAAAGCTGCAGGTTTTTCAGGAGGTCTCCCAGATCGCCTAACTTGCCTTCCAGCCCAGCCAGGAGCAGAAAAGGGCCTCTGACTTCTGCATGGCAAGCATCTGGCAGGGTGTGCTGAAAGAAAGAAGGAAAGGAGGAAAGGAAGGATGGACGGAAGGAAGGAAGGAAGGAAGGAAGGAAGGAAGGAAGGAAGGAAGGAAGGAAGGAAGGAAGGAAAAAAATACAAGGGTACAATGACAGCATATAACACGGACTTGATCTGCTAAAGGAGGTAGTCAGGGAAGGCTTCCCTCAGGAGGAGGTGCGGTTTATGCCAGGGAAGGAAGGAGGAGGGAGGGAGGGAGGGAGGGAGGGGATGGAAAGGGACTTTGTTTGCACATCCTCCACTTGAGCACTTATCACACCCTGTTAAGATATCTTTTGTCTACCGTGTGTCACTACTCTGAATTCCTTGAGAGCAGGACCTGGATCTTTGTCATCTGTCCAAAGCCTGGCACAAGACAGGGGCCCCAGGAAGATCTGATGAATACGTGAAGACCTAGAATTTCTCTCTGGACCTCAGCAAAACTCTTAGGCCCTGTGAATTTCACACCAACCAAATGGCAGCAGCACCAAGTAGTTTCGATAAGTGGTTTTATTACTGGTTAGATTTTACAAATTCTGATATTCGAACAGACTTCCACCTTAAAATTCTAAAACAACAAAGCGACCGTTGGAGGGGGTTTGATTTCTCCTTTTTTTTTTTCTTTTTTTCTTTTTAGGACTATTCAAAGTAACAAACTTTTTTTGTTGGTTTTTGTTTTTTACATTTTTGCTCTGGTCATAAATATACAGAGAGAAAAAGAGGGAGAGAAAAATGAACAAGTCATCCAAAGTATGGAGATAAAACAGTATTCCTAAGGCACGTGGCAGTCTTTGAAAATACAGAAGCTCTAGCCAACTTAAATTATTTGTTGTTTTTCCTCGCTCAGTCAGTCCACAAAACTGTACAGAGACACAAATGTTGTGTTGCAGGTAATTCTTCCAAGTTGTTCCTCGGTCCACATCGCTGTGTTAGCCGGGCACACGCTTCTTTTTTTTTTTTTTTTTCTCTGTTTCCAGGCGAGATCCTAAAATGTGGTTAGTTAGTTGCTCAAAGCCTCTATTTTAAAATACACTTGGAATTCAACTAAAGATAATTTCTTTTTTAAAGAAATTGTGGGGTTGGGGGATGCGAGTCATTAGAAAAGGTTGGTAAGAGTCGTTTGTGAGGGGCTGTGGGGCTCGTGGCCCTCCAGGTTGCCAGGCACAGAAGTTAAGACGGACGTCACAGTTGGCAGGGTGGGGCTAGTCAAGTCTGTCAGGGTGGTGGGCGTGCTGGAGGGGCTGAGCGAGGCGTTGGAGAGCTCCGAGGCTGGGCCCGAGGGTGTCCCTGTCTGCAGCGCCGCGTCCGCTGACTTGTCCACGCCCGTGTTTTCCTGCCGTAAGAGGTTGCGCCTGAACTTGGCTCGGGCATTCTGGAACCAGACCTGTGGGGGATGACAGGGAAGGGCTGGTTAGCAGAAGGCAGGGGGGGCATCCCGCCGACTGTTTCACTCGGAGCTCTGCTGCCTCTGGGGACACTAATCTGCGTTTTGCCAAGAGGTTCCAAAAAAGTCAGGTTGGCAGTATTTTACTTTTTCGGTTTTTTTTTCTGGAGACAGGGTCTGGCTCTGTCCCCCAGGCTGAAGCGTAGTGGCACAATCTCAGCTCACTGCAGCTTCAAACTCCTGGGCTCAAGCGGTCCTCCTGCCTCTGCCTCTGCCTCCTGGGTAGCTGGGGCTACAGGTGAGCACCACCGGTCCCCGCTTTTTATTTTTTGTAGAGACGGGGTCTTGCAACGTTGCCCAGGCTGGTCTCAAACTCCAGGCTTCAAGTGATCCTCCTGCCTCAGCCTCCTAAAGGGTTGGGATTAGAGGTATGAGCCACCGCACCCATCCTATATTTTGCTCTTAATAAAATAAAACAAAAATTTCACTTTCTTTACTGGGCTATGGCTGGGCTTCTCCTTCTCGTAGGAAGTTCCAGAGCTGAGCTGTACTCCTGAATTTGGGAGTCACATATGGTCGCTGAGCACTTAAAATGGCACCAAACTAAATGCCACCAGTCTGCAGGTGAAAACACACAACCTGTCTGAAGGCTGAGTATGAAAAAAGCAGGTTGGACATCTCAATAGTTTTTATATTGATTACATGTCAAAATGATAATAGTTTGGCTATCCTGGGTTAAACAAAATACATTATTAAAATGAATTTTACTCATCTCTTCTTCAAGGAGGGCTACCAGAACATTTAAAATTTAAAATGAAATGTGTGGCTCATGTTCCATTTCTATACCAAACACACACACTAGACAAATCTTGATCCTTTTCCGAATGCTTGTCTGAGATATTGCCTTTTTTGTGATTCCTTTTGTGGCAGTTGCCTTTCAGCAGACAATAAACCCCACAAGTTCTTGTTGGTAAAATTTTTTAAATGTTTCATGGTCAGTAAGTCTGGGAATGGGATAAAGAACACACGAGAATCAGGCAATAATAATGAGTCACTAAGAGGAAGTGAAAGGCACGGATCCTATTCTCCATCATCGGTTGGAGAAGCCACCAGGCACCCTGGGCCACTGGGTATCAGGTCTCAGGGTGGAGGTGGGTGGAGCTGGGCAGAGTGGGAACAGCAGCCAGATCAAAGTGAGTCCAGGGAAGCTGAAACCTGCAGTCTCCCTCCCGACCTGCTGCATCCCATATTAGCTTATGAGGGATGTACAGCAGGGCACAGAGCTGAGGCTGAGCTCGGTGTGAAAAGAATGTCAGTGAGAGAACATGGGCTTACTTTCATCTTTTCTTGGGCACAGACACACACATGTCGACATCCATACCTTTGCACACATGCCTGTATGCATTCAGGAAGACACAGAGAAATTCATCTAAGACCGGGCACGGTGGCTCACACCTGTAATCTCTCAGCACTTTGAGAGGCTGAGGCAGGTGGATCACTCGAGGTCAGGAGTTTGAGACCAGCCTGGCCAACATGGTAAAACCTCATCTCTACTAAAATTATAAAAAATTAGCTGGGCTTCGTGGTGTGTTCCTGTAACCCCAGCTACTCAGGAGGCTGAGAATTAGCTTGAACCCAGGAGGCGGAGGTTGCAGTAAACTGAGATCCCACCACTGCATTCCAGTGAGACTGTCTCAAAAAAAATAAATGAAATTCATCTACACAGCCGGCCCTCAACTACAACCACCCGTATACAGCACAATCATAGAGACACGCTGTACCCAGAGGTCCATGCAGTACTTTGGGAGGGGCTTAGGAAATCCAGGCCACTGTGTCGGGGGGGGGGGGGGGGGGGGGGGGGGGGAATGGGTTGAACCTTCCAAGGAAAAAGGCCTTCAAGGCAGGGCCCCTTCACTTCCCTTTGCGTGAGGAAAACACCCGCCAGAAGCCTCCCCATAAAACAAAGGGCCTCAGGGCACTCTGCAGATTCTGGGGTGTCCAGTTGCGGATTTCCAGATGTCCTGCATCTGCCTGTCTTCCCAGTGTCTCCTGCAGGAGGGGAAGGGCTGGCTCCTGGCCCCACCCACCCCTCGGGACCACCCCGGCTGCAGGGGCCTGTGGCCTCAAACCCCCCTTTCTGGTGGTCTGACACAATTTGGGCTCAATTAAAAGCACAGCCACGAGAGTCTTGGAGTAAAGTGGGAGATCCAGACCCTGTGAAGTGAAGAAACCAAGCTCCCTCCCTAGCAATGGATCTTCCCAGGAAGGCAGCATGCTTTCTCTGGCTCTCTGTCCAATGAAAGCCTGTTGTCCCTTCCTTCTAGGGGCTGGCAAATAAGCACAGTGCGTCTCTGGCCACCCTGACATGTCCTCCCTGGGGTTGGGGAGAGGGGGTGGGGGTGGGGGTACTTCCCTTTCCCGGCCAGCAGAAATCTGCAGGGGCGAGACTGTGTCCTGGTAGCCTGAGAAATCGCTGATTGAGAAAATGGATAGAGAAAGCCCCCAGAGGCCCTGAGAGAGAGGAAGTGACTTCCCCAAAGCAGATCAGGGCAGAGAAGGCCAGAGCCTTGGTGCCGCCGCCTTGCCACTGTCTTGGCCTGTGTGCCTGCAACTCGTGAGCAGCCTGTGCTCTGTGCATCTGAGTCTCCACAAGGTGGCTGGAGCAGGGACCCTGGGACTGGGGTGGAGGGTGCCTTGCTGGGTGCTCATTTGCTCATCCGTTCAGGGCTCCAAGACCTCGGGCAGGGCTGGACCCGGCTAGCTGCCGGCTGTTAGCTATTTCTCAGGCTGTTGCCCCTAACAGTGAGCTTATAAACAATGACACCATCGTCCACAACTGCCTGCTCTACTTTCCGGAACTGAGGCGCTGGGAATCTGGTGGATGGAAGTTCAACAACTTCATTTAAGCCAGGCTGCACTGGGGTTGTTTGGGGTTTGCTCTTTAAGGCATGCTTCACTAGAATTCTCTCCCAAGTATTTCAGAAAGTCCACTCCTGAGAGGTTGATGGGTGCAGGGACCCTGTCTATGCTATCTTCATGTCCCCTGGGACATGGCAGAGATTTGGAATCGGTAATACGTATTCATAGGAATGGCTGACATGTATGCACCTTTTATTACATGCCATGCCCCAGGCCACCTTCCAGCATGCACTGTCACAGGTTATTCTCATGAAAAGCCAAGTAGGTAGGTTCAATTATTATTATTTTCATTTTATAGTTTTATTTATTTATTATTTATTCATTTATTTTGAGACAGAGTCTGGCTCTGTCGCCCAGGCTGAAGTACAGAGGCACGATCTCAGCTCATTGCAACCTCTGTCTCCTGGGTTCAAGGGATTCTCCTGCCTCAGTCTCCTGAGTAGCTGGGATTACAGGTGCATACCACCATACCTGGCTAATTTTTTTTTTTTTTTTTTTTTTGAGACGAAGTCTTGCTCCGTCACCCCCGAGCTGGAGTGCAGTGGCATGGTATCGACTCACGGCAATCTCTACCTCCTGAGTTCAAGCGATTCTCCTGCCTCAGCCTCTCGAATAGCTGGGATTACAGGCACCCACCACCATCCCCAGATAATTTTTTGTATTTTTTAGTAGAGATGGAGTTTCACCATGTTGGCCAGGCTAGTCTCAAACTCCTGACCTCAGGTGATCCGCCCACCTCAGCCTCCCAAAGTCCTGGGATTATAGGCGTGAGCCACCACACCTGGCCCCACTGTATAGATTTAAAAACCAGAGAGCATCAGAATGGTGAAGCCACTTTGCCAGGGGTCACACAGAGGCAACCTGAGACTGGAATCCTTTTGACCTAAAAAGGTCTTGCTACCTGAGGGAGGTAGCAAGTCTATGAATGGCGAATAAATGAATGAATAAGCAGAGAAGCAACGATGGTGCAGTGGAAAGAGCAGCTTCCAGTCCCGGGACTGTTACATGACCTCAGGTTGTCCCTCACCTCTGGACCTGCCTCAGTTTCCTCATTTTTACAACACAAGTGTTAGACCACATCACATGATCTCTATGGCTCTCAGGGTTCTGACAGGCTGGGATTCTTGGGCAGCTGCAAGCAATAAGGTGGTGATCTGCCCCACCCACCCATCTCCTGAAACTGACAGCCCTCTGGCTTCAAGTGCCTCCTGTTCCCTGCACTGTGTGTCTGGGACAACAAGGCCAAGTTCAGACAGAGAATCATCAGGACACAACTAACAGCAGGCTAGGGTTGCCCCAGCCTGGTGCCCAGCAGACCAGTAAGTCCTGCATGGATGAAGAAGCCCTCTCCATTGCTTCTTGCCCCCTCCCCAGGCACTTACTGGCCCTGCAAGCTGTGTTCTGCCTCCCACACCTCCTTCTCCAGAATTCTTTCATCAAGAAAGCCAGGAGGGCCAGTGGGAAATCCATTTTGCTCCCAGCAAATCCCCACCTGGGATGCTAAGGAAATCACCCAAAAGATGAAAGCTTCATGCCCATCATGGCATTGTTTATAACATCAAACTACGGGCTGCATGCAAAGTGTCCACTCAGATGTGGCAAGTGGGAGTCATGACACAGCCACTCTACAACGCCACAGGGGAAATGTGATGGTTGTTAGGTGGAAAAAAAAAAGGATAAAGAAATTATGTCCTCTGGTATTGTACCTTCACAAAGAAAATAATAATGATGAACAATATTCCCCATGAAGCGCCAGGCATCTTCATTTTCCTTTTTTTTCTTTGGAGACGGAGTCTATCTCTGTTGCCCCTGCCAGAGTACAATGGCACGATCTGGCTCACTGCAATCTCCACCTCCCGGGTTCAAGTGATTCTCCTGCCTCAGCCTCCTGAGTAGCTGGGACTATAGGCACAAACCATCACGCTCAATTAATTTTTGTATTTTTAGTAGAGGTGGGGTTTTACCACGTTGGCCACGCTGGTCTCAAACTCCCGACCTCAGGTGATCCACCTGCCTCAATCACTCAAAATGCTGGGATTATAGATGGGAGCCACCCTGCCCAGCCTATTTTCTTTTCTTTT